GTTCTGTGCTCCGGCGTGGTTAGCAATCACACTACATATGTACCGTGCCCGAGCCCAACTGAACTGTGCTCTGGCCCACCTCTTCCAAGCGAGCCAGGGACGGCTAAACGAACCACGTCCGGGCACGGTATGGAGTGTTCACACTAATCAAATGAACCAGGCTTTGGGAGTCAAACGCATTTGGGCACGATTTAGATCGCCTACTGTGAGTACACCCTTAAATGACTTAGACCACCCACTCTATCGATATTTCATTCCCCTTCCTTCTGGCCATAGGTATAGATTAGCCATGTGTAGAAAGGCTAGCTATAGTAAGAGTTTTGTTCCTGTAGCTATAAGAGCTTTAAATACATAGGAAATCAGTAATTGTACAGTAATACGTTATCTTATGTCTCGTTTTTTTTGGGGGGGGGTGTATGTCTGCGATTGTTTTGATTGTATTATGTTAAGTTGACAAGTTAATGTTATGTGTTGTGTTATGTACGCATCTACAGTGGAAACAAATTTCCTCTTGAGAGCAAATTAATTATCATTCATTCATTCATTCATTTAGATCCATGTCTCTCTCTGCCTATGTCCTTGTTCTGCATGAATAAACACTATTTTAAATGCCCTTTTTATGCTATTAAAGGTTCTTAATTTTGTTTTTGAGGTCTCGTACAATAGGTTTACCTGCATCCAAGGGAAAAAAAAAAAAAAAAAGTACATTTTCTCACAATATACATTGTAACATTACCTATTTTCTCAGTGTCAAGAACGATTCATTCAAGGATTCAGTCTTTCTAAACCCCACCTTTCCGAGAGCCTACGCTGCTCTGATCTCTTTTGTGATTGGTCTACCGCTTACTGCTTATCTGAATTTCAGCACCAGAGGCTTCCTCAGCACAATATATACATTGATACGAACAGTAATGCCATATGTCTTTGAAACAAAAGAGCATGTTGAATAGCACTAACTGAAAAAATAATGCATTGCATTAACAGTGCTTGCATTTTAATGCCTTGTATTTCCAGGGCTTGCATTTTTAGGTCCTGAAATTTAACATAGTTGTTCATTTAAGCTGTGAATATTTCAATTCAAAATATTTCACACACATTTTCACAATTAAAAATTCAATAATTCATATTCACCTTCCAGAATTCACTTCCAAAATATTCAATCTGTTTAAAAATACGATGCATAATATTTGACAGGCAAATTTCGGTCCATTTTACTTCACTTTCCAAATTCGCTTCCACAAATTCAGTGGTTAAAATTCGGCAGAAAATTCGCCATTGCACATCCGGGATCTGCAGGAATAGCAGTAGAGCACCAATGCATGATCTCCAGCTGCTGTCAGTCGCTCACCAGCAGGTGGCGCAAGCGGCTGTTGATGAAGTAATTTACAAAAACTGATCTGCAGAAATGGAGCAAGCGCTAAATATAAGTTTTGATTATCTGGGCCAGTATAAACATGGAAAAGCTGATTGTGTGTATGTTTAATTTTCGCTGTTTCCTGCAGCTTACATGTAAGCAGCGTTCTCTACCACAAAGGAGATTATAATGCTGTTTTACCCAATGCTGAAGTTAATAAATAAAATAAATAAATAAATGTATGCATTTAGCAGACGCTTTTATCCAAACCGACTTACAGTGCATTCAGGCTATACATTTTTTTTGTGTTTTGTGCATTTTTTTTGAGGCTGTGGCAATGACAGCTATTAAAAGACCAAATTCAGATTTTACTGATGATACCAACTATATACAGGCAGAAGAGGATATGAACGCAAGTTATGGAACGTGCAAAACTGCACGTTAAACATTTCCCTTAAAGAAAACACTTAACGTGGTTTATTGCCTCAAGACAGTGATAATAAATTATTAAATTCGGCATCTAATTATTCAAATATATTACTGTATATTATGTACATTTAAGCAGATGAGCCCAGAATATGAGCCCACAACTCACAACGTTTCACCAAACCATTTTTTCTCCCATAGAAGTACAATAATTTATTCAAATTAATGTTTACAGTAAATTGATAATTTACTCAAACTGACTAAATATATATTGCCAATAACTCGCCTTAGACAATAATTTCCCTACGTATATACACTACACACATATTTTTAAAGAAAAAAATTACAGTAGTTCACCAAAATGGGTTTTTTCGTGTTCCAAATGTTGTATGTTACTAGTATGTTACTAGTGACCAGACTGACTTGCTACAGTTTAAATTTTGCCAATATCTTCCACACTGAATATACAGTATATAATTATTCTTAAGAAATTACTGTAATTCACATAAGTTTTTGTTTTAATGTTCCAAAGGTTGTAGTACATTCCTAGTGACTAGACTGACTTACTATAGGTAGAATTTTGCTAATACCTCCCTTGCTGTACATAAGGTACATCAATATTTTATAATACAACCTTTGGAACATGAAAAATCCCTTTTGGGGTCTTACAGATTTTTTAGTTTTTGTTTTAAATAATTATGAATGGTACATACAGTAAGGCAGATATTGGCAAAATATCACATGAAGCCAGTCTTGTAACTAGCAACGTAGCACAACCTGTGTAACACCATACTTTTGGTGATTAGTAAAAAAAAAATATATTTCTGTACTGTACATACTGTAAGGAAGATATTGGCAAAATCTAACCTGTAGTAAGTCAGTCTTGTATCTAGCAACGTACTACAACCGTTGGAACATGAAAAAACCCTTTCCAGGGATCTTTATATGTAAATAATTGTGTATTGTACATATATGAAGGGAGGTATTGGCAAAATCTCACCTGTAGAAAATCACTATAAACAATACAAGTTTTAGAATTTGCCAGTGTGTTATTTTACGTTTTAATTAAAATACATTGAACGTTTTAACCCAGTCAGTGGAATTGTCAGATGGTCTCTTGGGTGCGATAGCGCGTCAATACTTTCTTCAGTTTAAATTTGCAGCAATAATACACCTAGGCGGTTTTGAACTTCTTTTTTATGTCGATATAAAGTGGTTGCATATTGTTAAAACTAATCGTGGTATCGATATCTTTGTAGGTCTGTCGACTCTATAATTGCTTTCCCTTACCACTGATCTATAAAGAAAATGCAGCTCTTCTGCATTCTTCTTACCTCATTTGCTTGCCTCTATATAGTTCGCATAATCATCAATAAAGTGTATTCTGAGATCTTATATCACTGTGTTAGTTCACTGAGGCACAGTTATGCCTCGTTGGGGAATCCTGGAGTGTGTCGAATGAGGGGGAACCCCAGTATTACAGCACAGCGTCACACAAGCCATGATACAAAGTTACGGAAACTAAGCAACTGAAAGATGTAATGTTAGTTCTGTACTTCAGCGTTGGGTAAAACAGCATTATAATCTCCTTTGTGGTAGAGAACATTGCTTACATGTAGGCTACAGGAAACAGCAAAGATGTTGAATTAAACATACACACAATCAGCTTTTCCACATGTTTATACTGGCCCCGATAATCAAAACTTCTATTTAGTGTTTGCTCCATTTCTGCAGTTCTGTTTTTGTAAATGAATGACTTAATTCACCTGTTGCTTTGGTCTTCATGAACAGCCGCTTGCGCCACCTGCTGGTGAGCGACTGACAGCAGCTGGAGATCATGCATCGGTGCTCTACTGCTATTCCTGCAGCTCCCGGATGTGCAATGGCGAATAATCTGCCGAATTTTAATCACTGAATATGTGGAAGCGAATTTGGAAAGTGAAATAAAATAGACCGAAATTTGCCTGTCAAATATTATACATCGTATTTTTAAACAGATTTAATATTTTGGAAGTGAATTCTGGAAGGTGAATATGAATTATTGAATTTTTAATTGTGAAAATGTGTGTGAAATATTTTGAATTGAAATATTCACAGCTTAAATAAACAACTATGTTAGATTGCAGGACCTAAAATGCAAGCCCTGGAAATACAAGGCATTAAAATGCAAGCACTGTTAATGCCAATGCATAATTTTTTCAGTTAGTGCTATTCAACATGCTTTTTTGTTTCAAAGACATATGGCATTGTTTTACTTCCATATTGCCCCATCTTTAATGATTATGTGTTTTGCAAATCCCTCATTGAAGATTTGCAATGCTACTGTGTTGTCATTGTAACACCATTGTGTCGCAATGCAATCAATGGCTGTCCACATTGGACATGACAAAGTGACAGTTGCTCACATTTGGTAAAGAAACATTGTAAAATAAATTTTCACCACTGACTCTTCACATCCTAATCCTTTGAGAGTACATGAAACGTGGTTTTGCTTTCACAGCACAGAAAACAGCCTCTTTTAGACATCGCAACAACACAAATCAAATCTTCCAGGCCTTGGCTACAACTATACAGTGTTTGAAGGCGTTCAAAGTATGCACAGTTCGCGGGCAGCCAATGATGATCATTACGTGTAACAAATGTGTCACAAACCCATGTAGGTTTGTGCAGAAAATCACACTGGAATTACTTATTTCAGACAGTTCAAAATCTGTTGTTTCTATCGGTAGATAACTACATTTGTACAACTTTTACATTCACGATCAGCTATATTACACACTACATGAAAAGTAATATCTGTAAAAGCATAATAGGGGCACTTTAAAGTTAATATGTATAAAACATATAATAAAGCTAATACAAATATAAAATGCAATCTAGAAATCAATTTTTGTTCCAAGGAGCTATGATATAGTGATACACCCCTGTATAACCAAACTTTGTTGTGTGCCATAAAAAGTTAGTTTAACCACTGTGGTTAAACTAAGTAAAATAAAAACAATAGTGATTTGCAATACCTATAAATAAAGGTAATAACTCAATTAAAAGGAATACCAAAAGTGGTTAAGCAACCTCCATTGCATCACTTGAGGTGGATTGACCCATTCTTTTTTGCAAATAGTTCACTAGCTCACTTAATCTGTGATGGGGTTCTGAGGATTTAATTGACTATTCATTAACATATTTCAACATACTGAATGAACCAATGTAAAACTCAAACCTCAGTATGTTCAGTTGACAGTCTGAATTTTTCAGTCCAACAGAGAGCAGCTTCACTCCTGAATCCTGCAGGTCATTATTCAGGTTCAGCTCTCTCAGATGGGAGTTTGATGATTGCAGAGCTGAAGACAAACTTTCACAGTGCTGATCAGAAAGATGACATCCAGCAATTCTGTAACAAAGGATAACAATGCAGTGAAGGGGTGATGGGTGGCTAATGATCGTTCCAATGATCATCTGAAAACTTTAATGAAAGGACATTAGCTGGAGTCTAAATATGGAGCTGTGAAAGTGTGAGATTAAATGAGCTGCAGTGGCTTCCTCTTAACTGCTACCATTAAACTGAGTTGAGATGGCTCAAAGGAAAACAGTGTTTCAGATTCATCTGAACTGCTTTCATGCACCCCACCAAAGACTTCACAACAGACTTCTGCTCTATCAGCACTAACCATAACCACATACACGATCATTCAAACATAATTTTCCATCATGTTTCCATTATATTTATTAATTTATTTATGGCTCAAAGCTGTATTTTATTTGCACCATTCCATTGCTGCTGTAATCTGTATGTATGTATATATATATATATATATATATATATATATATATATATATACACAGTAGCTTAAAATTAACACGTGTAGCTTAAAGGGGACCTATTATGCAAAATTCACTTTTGCATGGTGTTTGGACATAAACGTGTGTTGACAGTGTGTGTACACAACCACCCTATAATGATAAAAATCCACCCACTCCTTTTTTTTTAATCCCCATAAATCATATTAAATTAATTCAGGTTAATTCAGATTAATTCAGGTAAGACACCACTGAAGGCCTAGGTGTGAAATGCATGGCTCGCCACTGATATATATATATATATGTAATACTTCAGTTTACTTCTACTTACCTATACATCTGTTTATAATTAAATAGAAATCTGTTTATTAAAAAAAATACTCACATAGCTTTTTTGCAGTTAATTACAGCTGGTATCAGTCTCCTTCTTCCCACATTTGATGTGTTGTATTTCATCAGATCCAATTCATCCAGCACCTCCTCTGACATCTGAAGAATGTAGGTTATTGCTGAGCAGTGACCAGGGGAGAGTTTATTCTCTGAATGTTTGCCAGATTTCACAAACTCCTCAATCTCTTTGTACAAAGTCTGATCATTTACTTCAAGAAGACAGAGGAACAGACTGATGGATCTCTCAGCTAAGAGACCATAACTTTCTTTAATTTTGTCTTTAATGTACTGTGTGATTTCTTTGATGGTCTCTGAGCTGTTTTCTGTTTGTGTCAGTAGATCCTCTAAGAGTCTCTGATTGGACTCCAGTGAGATACCCAACAGAAACCGCAGAAAAAGATCAAGGTAACCATTTTTACTCTGAAGAGTTTTAGTAACTGCTGATTTTAGAAGCTCACACAAAGAGTATGGCTTAGACATGCACCTCTCATGTCTGTTATCCAGAAAAAAATGCAATGACTCCATTTTCTTCATCAGATGGGAGTAAAACACATAGAAAGCAGCTAGAAACTCCTGAAAGCTCCGATGTATGAAGCAGTAGACCTTCCTGTGCTGAATCACAGATTCTTCCTTAAAGATCTCAGTGCAAATCCCAGAATACACTGAGGCATCAGTGATGTCTATGCCGCACTCAATCAGGTCCTCCTCATAGAACATCACATTGCCCTTCATCAGCTGTTTGAAAGCCAGTTCAGCAAGTTTCACAATCACTTCTCTGTTGGACTGCAGGAGTTTCCCTGGATCGCTCTCCTCATACTTCTGGTTCCTCATGTTTATCTGAATCAGCAGGAAGTGGATGTACATTTCAGTCAGAGTTTGAGGGATTTCTGCACTCAGATCTTCTTTTAGGAGCTTTTGAAGCACAGTGGATGAGATCCAGCAGAAGACGGGTATGTGACACATGATGTGGAGGCTTCTTGCTCTTCTGATGTGTGAGATGATTCTGCTGGCTTGATGCTGGTCACTGATTCTCTTCCTGAAATATTCCTCCTTCTGAGGCTCATTGAATCCCTGAATTTCTGTCAGACGGTTGATGTATTTGGAGGGGATCTGATTGGCTGCTGCTGGTCTGGTGGTGATCCAGATGAGAGCAGAGGGAAGCAGCTTTCCTTTCATGAGGTTTGATATCAACACACCCACTGATGAAGTCTCAGTCACATCAGAAATTTTCTGATCTTCTGAAAACATCAGTGTAAATCTGCTTTCATCCAGACCATCAAAGATGAACACAGCTCTACACTCCTCATAAATCTTTGAGTCCAGATCTTGAAGTTCAGGATGAAAGTCCAGCAGAAGTCTGTGAAGACTGTACTGATACTCTCTGATCAAGTTCAGCTCTCGCAATGGAAGCACAAACATGAAATCTACATCCTGATTGGCTTTTCCCTCGGCCCAGTCCAGAATGAACTTCTGCACAGAGACAGTTTTTCCGATTCCAGCGATGCCTTTAGTAAGAACAGTCTTGATTTGCTCTTTCTCCTCACGTCCTGGTTCAACTGAGGCTTTAAAGATGTCATTGCAGTAGATTGGAGTGTCTTGTGAGTGTTGTGTTCTGGGAGTTTTCTCCATCTGTAAAACCTCATGTTCTTCATTCACACCTTCACTCTCTCCCTCTATAATGTAGAGTTGTGTGTAGATACTATTTAAGAGGGTTTGACTCTCTTGTAGCTTGATTCCTTCAAATAAGCTCTCATACTTTTTCTTCATGCTGGTTTTGTGTTGGTCTTTGACTTTCTGTAGTTCATTATCTGCTGGTAGGTGACAATCCTGTTCTATCTCTCCAGTCTGTTCATCTCTGTCCATACAGCAGAAACAAGAAGAAAAACACAAAGAATGAATGAGGGCACAAGCAGCAAGATCTAGTGAAGCCATGAAATCAACACTCATAGTGGTGAACCATAGAAATTTACAAATATTTTGAAAAAGGATATGACTTAATGAAGCCTTTGCTGAAATCTTGTGACTTGGTCAATTTGATACAAGCTCTTTATCACTGATTTGAATCTATAGATTCATAAAATGTTAAAGCTTCATGAAGCAGTGTTCTGAAAGGTGCATAACTTCCTCATCCGACCATAAAACTGTACTAAGGTCATCAGTGACATTCAATGATCAAATGGATGTTAAACTTTAAATTAGAATCATCCGGCAAATGATCATTTGCTCTTGTAAAATAAATGAGTTAAATAAGTTAAGATAAAACACTTGACATTAAGAGTTAGGGAGTGATTTTTGACAGCTTACATATTGTTTGTGAATGAAATGAATCAGGGAACTTGTTTTTGAATGAGGATCTGCTGACTAAATGAAATAGGGGACTGAATCGATAAATGATAAATGTGATTAATGACCAGTGTTGGGGGTAACACATTACAAGTAACGCGAGTTACATAATCAGATTACTTTTTTCAAGTAACTAGTAAAGTAATGCATTACTTTATTTTTAATTTTACAAGAAAATATTTGAGTTACTTTTTCAAATAAGTAACGCCAGTTACTTTTTTCACATTTATTGATTGAAAGATCTCCTGTCCCCTTGTTGAGAGAAATCGGGAGTAAGATGTTACTTTAGTTCTAGAATAAATGTGAACATGCATTAATTCATCTCACTCACTCACAAAAAAAAAATCAGATTTAGTTTTCCTCAAAATTAATAAAAACAGTTAAAAGCAACTCAGAATATGACTCAAAGCTGCAATAATTAAATATGTTAAATAATACAAATATCCTTTATGTATTTAATCCCATGTTATTAACCAATTTGCTGCTGACCTTCGGTGATCCAATTCAACCATACTAATAAGCAAAAATTACGATAAACTAACATTCATTCTTTTTTTATTGCTGAAGAGTGTTGAACTTTCTTCTTCTGTGTATACTGTACAGACGTGAATTTACATTTCCTTCAGCCTGAGGCTTTTGGTGTGAAAG